AAGCAAACTGCATTTATAAAGCGAAAGCAATCAGCATTAATCCAATTAGAAGGAATAATAATTATAGAATCATTACTTATAATATAACAGTTAATCTAGTGACAGGATAGATATAAACCTCAAAAAGTATATTTCTGAACTGCCGAAACTCATCACAGTCTGTTCATTTTAAATTATCTATTAACTATAAAAGCTCCTGCACTTTAACATTTCAATAATTTCTATTATAATGAAATGTTGTGATATTCAAAATTATTAATAAATTTTTTACTGTCCGTTTTCAAAAATACTAGCTTTAATTACCGCCAACGTTTGAAATCAGTAATTATTTCTCTAATTTCTTCACTTTCTCATAAACACTTTATTACAATTCTTATTCACGTTCAACATCTCTCCCTCTCTCTCTCTCTCTTTCTCTTACTCTCTCCCTTTCCACATTTTGCGTACGTCACATTACTCTCAATCACCAACAACATTGACTGTTTGCAAACTTTTTCAACCTTATGGTATTCTTTCATTACTCTTACTTCTCTTCTTTTAATCTTTTGAAATTTTACCAATCTCATATTCTCCCTCAAAGTATTTTATTTTTTATTTACTGTTGCGAAAAATTTGCACATGGAACGTTGTGAAAAACATTCTTCCCATATTATCATTTTCGCATTTTTAAGTTGTTGTATTGACTGATGCCTGTTCAGTGAGTCTTTCACGTCTTTGGCGTGTTTTTGTTTTATTGATTAATTTATTCTCATTTAAAGTCATATACACTTCCTCTCTTTTTTTGAGTTTTTTGAAAAATAAGCATATTTTCATATATTATGTTATCTTCACTTGTAACAAATAAGCTAATAAATAATAAGATTTTATTACAACTCATAAGCTATAGTTAAATCAAGATCTACATATTTATTATTTTCTTACAAAGTTATTTGTCGATTAACGTAATTTTATGCGAATTTCTTATTACCATTAAAATATTAAGTGAGTGATTTACAAGCTGAATTGAATAAATTTATTGACACACTGAGTTGTTTTTTCTGTTACACTAACTCGCTTACCAGCTTACTCACTTATTGTCTGTCTTGTGTGGCTGGTTAACTGTGAATATTCACTTATTTCTTGTTTACTTGTTTAATCCTTATTTTCTTTATTACTTAGTAACCTTACAAGGGTTTATAAGTGAACAAATATTAACCGGGAGTATAATTAATGATAGTAATAATGATGATAGTAATGGTAGTGACAATGATAATAACGGCAGTAAATGATCGTAATAGTAAATTATTACCAATTAATAGCATTTTCATAAGCATTAGCATTGGATGGAAAATTGCACTCTGTCAGATATTATTAGGCGTGTTGAATAAACTATAATTCCTTTGAGATTTTTGCACCTTTTGTGATTTTCAGAGTTTTCCCATTATTTTTCTTTTTTAGACCGGTAATAAACAATACAGACAGCAAGGATTCTATCAATCATCACCAATTTTCCTATTTTTGTGTTTTGTGTTGACCGGACACTATCCTTCTGGTCAGTATAATTATTTCATCGATAACAGTAGCGAAAACGACGACAAAGCAAGCTAGCTGTTTTCTAGCTCCTAACTCTTTATTTTGTTGTCTTTCTTCAAAGCTATGATTCGACGAAGTCCGCGATTTTGGTTTCTCAACTGTTGTATTTCGCCACAATCAGAAGTATGTTTATCGTAACTTACGTACGTGGTTTCTCAATGGACTTATTTTGCAGATACTGCTTCCTTAATTGTAATGGGTAAATGAGCCACCACCATCAATATTTTGATGGTCTCTTTTTTGATTGCTAATAATTTTAGATTTGTAAATTTCAAACTAGTACGTAAATATGGACAGATTTGTCAATTAGTTCGAAAATAAGTACAAATTAAAAGTGATTGACTAATGGCTATTAAACGTGACAGATTTATGATAGATTCATATTATTGTTCTTATTGAGTTAAAGTCAGTCAATTTTTTGATCTTATATCAAAAAAATGTCTTCATCATTTCATTTCCAAAAAAGCAAAGGTCGACTAATGGCCATTAGTTTCAATCACTCGCTATTCAGGTAGCGCCAAGTCGAAACTTCTCTTCAGATAGCTCGAATAAGGATAGATCGTTCAATGATTGGCGGTCCAATGGATTTCCGGCACATTGGACATATGGGTGCAAATGATCTCAACGCTACATTCAACGTGATTTATTTATTCAGTTTCTTGAACTTTTTGGAACAATCAAAACATTAAATATACATTAAACTTTTCAACACTTTATTTATTTTTGTGTGTTACAGTATTTAAGGAGCTTTTTTTCTAATTTTTGTAAGTTGCACATTAATTAGAATGTATTTTATTTATATGTTAGCGTCTTTTCAGTTAAATAACATATTGGTGCATTATTAATATTTTGAGATGTTACTGTTTCAGTTTTTGTCTACAAAAAACTAAATATTTCGATTTCGGGTTTCAATTCCAGGTGAATGCAGTAAGTTGCTTGCTTAAATCAAAAGGTGATGACTCTTATTCACTACCGGTACCACAACATCTTCGGGCAAATGATATACCTATTAAAGGTAGTTTTCGAACTTTTAACTATTTAAATGTTCCTTATTAGTTTGTACAAAAACGAGGGATTATATATCTCATGAAGAAATCAGCTTGTCTAGGTTGACGGCATTGAAATATTCGATTACAGTGAAATAGTAAGTACTTAGATAGCTGAATATTATTTGATAAAAAAAGTTAATGTTCCGAGTGAGTACCAAATTAAGAACTATAGTTTGTTAAATTAATCAAAAGTAAGCAGAGTTTTTCAAAAAGCAGAATGGAATAATTATCAGTCCAAGCCTAAAACTTAAGACGGCCTGTAGTCTTGCACAAATTTTCACTTCGGAAAACTAAAGTATTCCTGGAAGCAAGTAATTTTGTTTTTTTTAGCTCAGTAATATCTTGGAATATTTGTTTTTTTGATGGGTCATAGTACTTGATCAGTGGTCGAAGAAATGATGCCAAAATGACTTGTAATACATTTTCTTACATTTATTAACGTTATTTGTTTCCTGGCGATTTTTGTTTTAAATTTCTACGTTAAATTCTCAATGAATCAGTGCTCTCACTGATGTTGCATTGTTTAATATGTCAACGCTATCAAAAAATGCCAAAAATATATGGAAATGTTGAACTCAGTGAAGCATTTTAGTTTTCATTTATATGGTTTTTGCGCAACTTTTATCATCTTCCCAAAAGGTTTGACTGTTTGATGTAATCTGTTTTCTTCGCTTATACTGTTATTATAAATATCTGCATTTAATCTATCTGTGAGTCATTGCATGCTTTTATAATCATATTCTCTATTTTAAAATGTGAACATATGCATAAGAGGTGTTTGATTTATCGGTGCTCGGGTATAACCACTTCAAGTTGGTGGAAATTATTAGATTTCTTTTCCCTTTTTTTTATCAACCTTTTATTCCAGTTTCTACCAAGCAGCAGCAAAAGATATGAGTTTTTTTTGCATTTCATGAATTGGTTTTAAAGGACAAAATTTTGTTTCATTTCTTACATTGTGGTGTTCTGAACGTAAGGAAGTCTTTTTTCCACTCTCTGCGGAAAGAAATAGAACTTAGTGAAAAGAGTGAGAAAGGATGTAAGTTTGTATTCGGAAATTTATCTGAAATATGTATTCCTTCATTTTATGTATTTGCACCACTTATATTTCTGTCCCTGGTAGTAGCAGCATAATAATGGTAGTAGTGTTAAATACCTGATTTGATCTTCTCATTTTTCTCAGTTTATTTAAACATATCATTCTGCAACTTGTACATTTTTTGTTTAATAATAGAAATGCTGTCTTTCTTCTCCTGTTCCTCTGCGCCTCATCAAAAAATTTATCATTATTCGCAAATTTTTGTCATCCGATTTTCCGCTGATTCAATTTGCTGTACATTTCATGCAATTATGTGATTTTATGCAAATAAAGATATATGTACAATTTGTCTTTCTAATTTCTTGAATTTTTCTCTACATCAAATCGGTATGCAGTATTGCCGTTTGAATTTTACATTATTACTATTCTTTCTTATAATATTTCGAGGTGTCAAGAAAACTTTGTTTTCTTATTAGATAAAGATAGTTGTAAAGGTTTATACTTTGAAAGATTAGTCCCATTATATGACAATTACAGATGTCAGTAGATAATTTCTTCCTAATTGCTGATAATTGAAGTAATTCTTTATTAATTTGAATGGGAATTGAAATGATTAAATAGTGGGACTACGTGAGACACAGGGCGTTAAGCCTGACTGTTAACGCGGATGATAGAATTGACCTCTTTGTGCGATAAGTTACACTATATGTAGTTCCTTCGTTGGGCAGTGCTCAGTGAGTTCTTGTAGTAGTTTACTAACTTGAACAGAAGGAGTCACAAAGTCATTCGATGTACGAACAAAGAGTAGATGAGACAATTGCAACAAAGAATCGTCTAGACAGGCAACAGATAAAGCTAGTGGTTAACTAACGACAATCTATTCTTTTGAAGATGAAGCTGATAGTACAAAGGGAATCATTTGAAGTTAATCAGTTGAGATATTGAATAAAGTATATTTTCTATTATTTGACTGAGGATATTTGATACAAAGGATTTTTATAACATCGATTTCAAAATGCAAAGATACTTAACTTATATAAATATTTGATAATACAAAGTTCGGATTTCCAATATGAGAAATAGGTGATGCTTGCTAGTTAGATTTATCTGTACAAGGAAGTATCTGTTAATTGTTCAGAAGGATTGGAAATTGCTTCTAGATTTAGCAAGATGTCTTTTTGTCTTTTTCTTTACCGGTATAAGTATTATCAACTGTTTTTTATAGAATATAACAGCAATTAAAAACAGTTTTTTGTCTTATTTGTCGTAAGCTTTATCTTTTCCTTTTGACATATGTCGTAGGATCATGGAGTGAGGAAAAAAAAAACATTTGAGGCATTTTTCGAACATTAATGCAATACTGTTTGAAAATTTGAGATGTAAATATGAAATTTCTCTAAAAGTACAGAATTGAAAAATTAGAACAAAATGAACAATTCAATTTCTAGCGTTTACAAATATAGATCAACAGCTAAGCATCAAGTCATCCCATATCATCCCTTTCCAGTAGCATTTCTTTCCAGTTTTTCGCGTACTTCTTCCAAAGTGATACGTTTACTAGTTAGCCGTAATATTTTTGACCTTGATCGAGCACCCTGCAATACAACTTAGTTTAATGATTCAAAAGTTTTCAGTTACAAATCAATTATTCAAAAAATTCTTTTTCCTTATTTTACTAGATAAAATAATAGTTTTCGGATATCGTATTTTACATATAAAATATCCGAAAACTATTATTTAAAATTCGAAGACAAACTTTGAACAAGACTTTGAGTTTTCTTTCCACATTCATTCTTTGTAAACTTTGAATATTACCTTGTGATTTCTTACATATGTTTTTTGTCGAATATTTTAAAGATCATTTAGATTACGTTGATTTTTTCCTTAATATTTCAAACATTTTCGAAAAGAAGCTTTTTTTCCATAGTTTTAAAACATTTTCACAATTCAAAATTTTCGAAAACACAATAGTTTGTTTAATCATAATGAATATCATTGTTTGCTCCATATTCGACTAGTTACTTCTTTGCTTTTTTAGTTTGATCTGTTTATCAATTCATAAAGAATGCAATTTCACTTTTCCCATTTTACTATTTACCTCAGTTACGCCACCTTTTTAGCTATTTTGCTGCTGTAAATAGTTTGAAAAAAAAAATAGCGCAGACAAAATTTACCGTATCAAACGTAATTTCATTTTTATGTAATTTCAAAATGTCCATCATAGCATTGATCAATGTTTTATTCGCTTGACCACCACATGGAGGTGCCGCGATAGCAAGTTCAATTTCGTTCGCACCAATACCTAAAATAAAAATGTATACCGTTTTTAGTTAGGTAAAAAAACTTTCTTCAAAGTTCTTTCTACTCAACAAATGTAATTAAATTCAATTTTAATTACAATTATGGAAATACGAGAAGAAAGTGAATAAATTCAGGCGTTTTTTTTTCCATCTCAATAATTTAATAATTATCTGTAAATAGGAAATTGCTTATAAACACTAAGTAACCACTTATAATTAACAAATTGCTGCACCTATAACACGTGTTGTTTTTGCATTAGGTTTTGCATGTATTCTTAGAATGATTTCGCCATTTTTATTCATTGATATGACGCTTTCTTCGGATTTTTTCTGAAAATTTGCTATCTTTTCTTAATTTACCGTTCATGCCGAATTCACTGAAAAAGGAAAATTACATTTGATTAGAAAATCAAATGTGATTTTCAAAACTGTAATGAGTCTTTTCAATATAATTTTGAAAGTTATTTTATCTTCAACACACTTTTACCTTTGCTTCCTCTAAATTTCACTCATTTAATATGCAAAATATCAAGAGAAAGGATTTTTTCTTTGTCATAAAATTTCAAATGAGCATTTTTAATGAAATTTAACTTTTGAATAATATCAAAATATATGTTTAATAAACCTTATTTAATGTATTCGTTGTTATTGCCATTGTCCCTGCTACTTTATCTTTGTTTTTGCCCATTTTTCCACTCGTGATTCTGCAAATTATTGAAGTAATGGCTCATTTGCTTGTCGTTATTAAAACATTATTATTTTATCTGTTCACCAAATACATTTATAGTTTGTCCCTTTAATATTCTTCTTATTACCTTCTCTTTTTCAGTTGTTCAGAATATTTCCCTTTCCATTTTATTTGACTCGTAAGCTTTGCCAGTAATGCATATAATCTCGTATTTTGACTTTGATTTTGTCACATTTAAAAGAAACTTACTTATTGTAAACTCGACAGTTTAGATATACTCGAGTAAGCATTTATCCAGAAAATAATTCATTTATTTCCAAAATTCGCTCCTTTTTCAAACGGCTCTTTATATTCTAATGCAGAATTGCCAAAAAGTTTCTGAAAATTAAGCATGTTTAAAGTAAACGAATTATAAAATCAGTCTTTTTTTCAAATAAGTAGGGGGTCGAGTTTCAGTATGAAGTGGTTCGAATTTTAAATTTCACTTAGACATAATCATCTGGCTATTCTTCATTGTGTATTGTGTTTATTGCTATGTCTGTTATTTTTATCATAACTTAATATTTCTGTTTCTTTTTTTCCTGTACACTAGTTTTTTTTTTTCAATTTTCTAGTTACCCATCTGGTCTTTTTTCTGAAAAAATCGCGAAACAATGAATCAGTGCTAAAGAATGACATCTTAGAATGATGAATTTGAAAAAAAAAGCAGCCCGAATAGCCAAACCATTGTGAAACTTTCTCTTCTGATAATTGATAGTAATAGACCTAATTGGAAAACATCAAGTCAATAACTATCACGTATTGTCATATTCGTGGATTATATCACTTTTTTTCCTAAATTAGATAAAAACTTTTTTTTTAGATTTGCTTATTATCCAATTTAGTGAAACAACAGAAGTGAAAATGGTTGAGACAAAAAGGAGAGATCGTCCATATTCCGGTGAAAAAATGCATACAGTAGTGGATGATTTCATTCAATATTTATGTTCTCTTGTCATTGTACAATGGGTAATAGTGATTTAATTCATTAAAAAATTACATTTTTTTGACAAATATTTAAATTTATTGCATTTCACATGTCTATGATTTGTTCACGCTTTACTGAGCCACCAATATTCAATTGTATATTTGCATAACTTCACCTATAATTTATTTTATCCTATTTTAGATTCTTGACATATATAATGGAATCAAATATAGCAGTAAAAACCTGGAGAAAACACTTGATAAAGTTGAAGAAGGATTCATAGTAGCTTATGTTCATTTACTGGATCTTTACAATCGATATCAGCAAACTAATGTGAATCGTATGTTTATATCATGTGAATTGGGTATTCAGTTAAGGGTTTCAGAATGAAGTAAAACTTATCTGAGACAAATGAAATTATTAAAAAAAGAAACATCGCAAGCAATAAATTAAGAAAAATGCATCAAATATAAATTTATTAATCAGTTTATTTTCCAGCGAATTTCAGATCAAGGGAAGTATTTATTGGAAAGTGTGCTTACATTTGGTCTGGGTATTATCGTGATAATGATACAACTTAATCTAACACTCTTAGTCGCTATAATTACTATGCTCTTCAACGCTTTACTGAGTGGAAAAGAAGCATTTGAGCAGGCTTCCAGATCAACATCGGTTTCTATTTCCAATTGTTTATTCCTTCCTAAAGAATAGAATTAGTATATATACATTACTTTTCACCATTCTTTCGAAGAAGTTACTTCTAATATAGTAAGTTTGTGTCGAGAAATTGATGTGTAGCCGTATTTAAGCGTTTAGAGCAGTCTTTCCCAAATTTTTTTACTAAGAAATATGATCTTCCATCACAAGAGACCTGCATACATTCAAATGACCATTAAGTTATAATACTGAATGGTTGTCACTGAAGTATCCCATGTTTATGAAAAAAGAGGAATAATCTAAAAATAATTATTTCATCGGCCACCCATAGTCTTATTAATTACTGAGGCTTTAAGTGGAAAGCATCCATAATGATAGGATGAGTGATGAATCTACCAGAATTATTATTGAGATATGACTGGTCATCCTACAGTTGCAAATTGTTCTCTCTAACTCACCAGCTTCATATTTAAATGAACTACTGCAGTAAGAACATTGCGTCTATCAATTTCACGAACATTGCATCAGAATTAGCAATAAGATTAAAGTAATTAATTGACAATATGAATTTCTTAGGATACTGATGTGTCTCCATGTAGTTACAGCTATTATCAAGAGAGATGTCTGAAGATATTAATATCCTAACATCATTTTATCATGTTCTGTCATAACGGTTTATTGATAAATGCAAAATTTCAGTAAAAAAAAATTTTCCAACTATAGATGTCAAAAAAATTTTTTAAAAAGTTTAAATTAATGTATAAATTTTGCAATGATAATTGAAAAGTATGCAAAATAACAGTTAAATGAAAATTTTACAGAAGGCACAAGCAACAGCTCGACAAGTGGTAACTGATTTATCTGAAAAAGTGAGGCAAATTTCGCGAGTAAGTTCTATATGACGCTGACAAAGATATAAATTAAATATCGTTTATAAATTAAAGAGTTTATTTATTAGCCAAATATACCATCAGTAGATTACAGATTTATATCTTGATTATATTTATCATTATCAGTTGCATCAAGATCTTATTTTAATTCTTTATGTTTGTGACAATACATAATGATTCAGTTATTTAAAGGGACATATGCTATATATTGAAACGGAGAGGAAAAATTTTAGGAGTAAAAAGAAACAGAAAAAAATGGATATGAAGGTGGATTTGAATACATGCAATTATTGTAACAGTGCTCGGAGAAAACAAGTCATATTAAAAAATTAACCTGTTTTAAAAGCTGCATTAGTAAAAAAGGATAAATGTCGCTTTAAGGTTTCAACGGAAAAAGTTGAGGAACAAGCGAATCGTATTTTGGATGAGGCAAACAGGATAGCCCATTCAACAATGGGTGTATCACCGGAAAGCGATGATACTGAAAAAACACCTTGGAATCGTTTCCAGAATCTCAGTCATCGTATCATAGAAAGTTCGAAGAACTGCGTTGGAGGACTTTATTGGATGCAATTTGATGCACAAAGCATTGTAGAATGCTTGAGTACTTCCATTTCACTGGTATAGTTTTTAATTTTTGTTTGAATATAAATAATAGTTTTAGAATTGTTCCAGATATTATATCACCATAAACAAACAAAAATATTTGCCAGAACATGTGCTCTGCTTCAACGCTTTCGATTTTATGAAATCGAAAGCGCTGAAGCAGTTGTTTTTCTTATGAAGGGATAAACCTTTATGAGAAAAAATGAACAATATAATTTTTTGAGACACGAATTCTGCAAGATAAATTGATGTATACTAGAGGAAATAGCTAAAAAGAGAAATTGATATATTGCAAGGAATTGAGATATCACCTCGAAAGAAATGTTGATATATCGATATATCGCAAGAGATTGATATATTGCTTCAAAAGAAATACCAAAAAAAATGAATCCTGTTATTGCATTCAAAATTTTAGGCTGATATTGTACGTAAAAATAAATCATGGGTTGCTGGTAAGGTTGGAGAGTTGCGGACATCACTAGATGAACTGAAAGTATCTTTGGAGATGGAAGGACAACGTTTAAAGAAGGATCCCGAGGAAATATTAATGCACTATTTGCAACGAACTTCATCTATTTTAGCTGAGCGACTCCGCATGTTGGAAAAAACAACTGGAAAAGTAATTTTTGTACTGTGTAGTTATATATCTTTAAAACTGATTGAAGATGGAGATTTTACTTAAACTTATTTGTTTCCTTTTCCCTCCTCTGTTTTTTCTTTTCCTTTACTGTTACTCTAAAGAGTAACAGTAAAGAGTAAAGAGTTTATTACCCCCTCTAACTTTTCCTACAATCATCTTACTTTTTTTTTACTTTTTACTTGCCTTTTCGTGTTTTCTTTACAGTTAGTATGTTGCTGTTAGTAGAAAAAATTATGACAGCAGAAGAAAATAAGCAAGATGTTGTATTATCTAATTAGTGTATTTTCGTCTAATTCATATTTCAGTTTTCGAGTGAACAGGCTACAAATAAACTTGTTACTCTAATATCTTATATTGAAAAATTGAGTGAAAAGCTGGTAGAAGCTGACAATGTACATGAATTGAAAGATGAAGTAAGATTTTTTTTTGAAATTGTATTTTAAAATCTCGATTTCAACAAGTGGCTTATGTTAGCCTTCAGTTTTTGCAAAAAAAATTTTTTAAGGAATTATTTCTTTTTCGCTCAAATTTTTCTTATCAAGCGATGGGAGAAAAATCCTAATTTATAGGTCCTCAAGGAAGCACATGACCGTCTAGTTGATTTGCTGCAGTGGTTAACAGATCACATAGACTACAATGATAGTACGCATACAGAAAATATGGAATCGGTCAATGATGAATAAAACTAATTGAACTGACCTATGATTATAAAGAACTGCGTCAATTTAACTAATTTTATACCCTCTCATTCCTATAATATTATGATTTAATGCAGTTTAGCTTGTTAGGCAAATCAAAATTAACTCTCAGTATACTACTTCTAATATGCCACTTCCAGTAATATATTCCAGAAACGGCATAAAAATTGGAGATCTCTCAAATGTCATTCTTTGATCTTTAATAATTAGAAGTTATGGTAGAAAAGAGTAACTTGTGATCTACATAACAATTTAAACTGTGGGATATATTGATTGTGGGATATGTAAAGTTATATGGCTTATCACAGAAATAGCACACGTAATATATAGGGATCTGGAGAATCCGGAAAATGTTAGATCTCAGAAATTGAGTCACCTTCATTATTTACATGTCTTCCTTCTAAAAAACAAATAGGAAGGAAATATCTACATTCAGACTACTTTAAAAAATTATCCTTATTATCAGATTACTCCAATTTTATTAGTGCAAGACGACAAAGAGAGAGAGAGAGAGAGAGAGAGTCACATCGTATTTCATTGCTTTTTCGTACGGTTGTTCTCCAAGTGCATATCTAATTAGTGATGTTTACAGGTGGCATACATTACAGTGTACTTTATTTGTTCACTGGAATTTAGTACTTTGTCATCCTGTACTTTGAATTTTCTTTGTACTTCGGAGTTTATAGCCATTATTTGCTACTTTTGCTGTTACTTTTTCTTCTAATTAAAATAATATCTTGGTTCTATTCATCCACTTCATTCACAACACGATAGACAGCAACGAAGTCATCAATAAGTCTAAAAAAAGGCAACTATGAGGATGTATGAGTCTAAGTAAATATACGATCTATGATTGCGTAAAAATAATTGGAATAAATTGTAGCTAGGAATTAATTAGGATGGCACACTTAAATTATTTATCATCAAATCATCTATCAGAACAGCTATGCAGAATCGCCTTAACTCTATGAATGATCAATAACATATACGACTAGCAATTGAAATCTGAGGGAATGATCCATGTAGCACTAATGAAATAGAGCTTGCTAGGTTCTAGAAACTTTTCATCCAATTTTATGATTCTAATGGAAGATCAAAGAACAGACAACAGCATAGCTGTATTCAGAACTGATACCAACATTCTACAATTCCTAACCTGTATGAATGTGCTGGTTGAAAAGTTAATAGAATTTAAAAACTAAAGAATTGTTGAAATTAAAAGTTTTATATGTAAAGAGTCATCTGAGTAGTTTTACGCTCTAGAAATGAAAGAAAAAAAGTACTGAGAAAAACATTTATTTTTGTGCAGCAATTTCAAACAACAATTAATACATATGTGAAAAACAGAAGCAACAATAATGCATCAAGCAGTATTTTATCTCGTCTTCTAAAATAGCACGTGTTAGACCTGGCGTCAGGAGCCAAAAGAACAAATCTGATCGTAACAAGTTTCCAATGAGAAATTATCCACATTCTGATATACCAGAATGAACGTTAAAGATTTCATAATTCTCTTGAAAATTTCAAGGTGATATTGCGATTCTACTGATAATATTTTAAGAACAGATTTCACATCAAATATTCAACACTCTTCTGATTACAAATATACTGCAAAAATATCACAGTGCTTAAGGAACATTCTGAATTCATTCATTTTTGAATAATGAGGGTCGTTTATGTATCCAAATCCATATATCCAAAAGATTATCCAAATAAAAGTTTTGCAATTATAACGAAGATATTAACAGCAATAAGAGGCACTTAAAAAGAATTGCTTTTACTTGGACATATAAGCTATTGAGTAAATTAAATTTTTTGCAAACTACTGAAATAATTCCCAAATGACCGAGAGGAAATTCTTAAAAAGATGCAAAAATGCTGAGGAGAAATTAATTGACTAGCGAAAGTTAATCGATCAAACTATCAAGAATTCTAGGATCATGAATGTATTACTTTTTAAATAACTGTTACTAACAACATCCCATACTTTAATATTTTTACAACTAGAAAGTGGCTCACAAAGTGAATAAGATGATGGCGGTAAAAAATGTAACAACGGAGGACTAATAAATCTTTCGTTTATACTAACCTCGCATAACTGTTTGTATTGCAGCGATGAGGTTCACAATTTGCATTTTAAAAGATGATGGATTCACAACTTCGAAAGAATTGCTCGGTATAGAAAGGCCAACCTAAAGATATATGTATCATCTAAATTGCACTTCATCAATTACTAATTTACAAGGCGCTTTATTTAATTACTTGGCTTGAATTACCGTTCATTTCTTTTTTCCTACGAAGACATTCCATACTTATCCCTGCATTATCTTTCTCCTGATATCGAAATCCATAGCTAAGATAATTAAAATAAACTCATTTAACTATGGATAAAGGAAATACGAAGAAATCGAAGGAAAAAAAATCCCACCTTATTTAAAAACCTTTCCTTATTGAGCACAGCGATTCCATTTAAGACGAGTAAACCTGCTTCTAACAAACCATAAAATGAAATAAACATAATTCTTCACTCTTAGCCAATATCAAATTCCAGAAATTAGCGTCAAGTTTGACTGCAAACAAGATTCCACATAAAAGTTAAAATCCATCCTGACAACGATAACTCTTCCTCGACTTATTTAGCCGAAACAGAATGAAACACGTTTTATTCGAAGGAATTTAAATGATTCCCAAATAAGGATTTTTATTTTGGTCACCACAAATTGCGAAGTCCAAAAATCAATCCATACTCCACATCCGTTGTAATATTAACAAAGAATACCTATCCCAGACTTTCTTATCTCAGCAAATAAGTTAAACATATTATACTACAAGGGGAAAATGAAGCACAAGGAAGCATTTTCCTTTTGTTTGGAAAGACCATATGTAGCAGAAATCGACAATGTCAAAATGCATCCCTCTATAGTCAATAAAATAATTTTCAGGTCGACAATCTGGGAGGTATATCATTTTCATCTATGCTTTTATAGGCTATTTAGAATAATACAACAAAAGTTGATAAATATTCTGGCATACGACAAATACTGGTGCCGTAGACATTAATCTGAATTCGGTTTTTATCATGTAATTTGATGCTGAAAACGCAACAAAATTTGAAGAACTGAAAGGAAACTTATCATAAGTACAAATATAACACTGTATGTAAAACATACAAAAATAATCCAGTAATCAGTACTAAATGACTAATAATTACACCAATGCACAGAACTTCGCGGATGTTAGAAAAAAAATATGACATCGCTCTTTTTAAGCTATATTATGAAAGGAAATTTCAAAATTAGTTTAAAAAAGGATATACCAGTAATGCGATCAATCACAGCTGAAATCACAAACTTTCTTCATTTCTATAGTACCATGATTAAGCAAAAGTACAACCAACATCCTCAACTACTTCACTAAAGAATTTGAAATCTTTTTTATACGAACTCAATCAAGAGATTAAAATAATAGAAACAAATTGCATATGAAGTATGAGTGAAAATTACATGAAATTCAATACATTTCTCAATGAATTAATGAGTTCATATGTACTACCATCTGTTTCCTAATGTCCTCAATGATATCATTTGAAATGACTGAAATGTATTATATATGTATCGAGTATGTGATAGTTGAATATGTAAGTAATGCTTGACAAAAAATGTCCAGCATTAACGAAAATATCGGAAAAAAAGCTGCAAGTGACAAAAGATGTTATATGAAGCACGCAAATTTGAAATAATATTCCACAAGCATCAAAAACGATTCACATGAATATCTATAGAAAGAAATGAAAGACAATTAGAAAAAAACATACTATTTGCAAAGATGATCAAAGAACAAAAACACGCAAGAGTTGATTAGCGGGATAAATTTCTCCAGTTCTAGGGCAAACAATTTCATCTGATGAATTAAGCAACTTCTCAATCGAGTTCGCACCATAAACGTAACCATTTGGTAACATAAACGGCTCATTATCATCATCCATTGGTTCTCCCGAATAAGCACACATCAGTCTATAAATAGTATGCTCTACAAAAAATTCTCACTAAAACGATCCTGCAGCATAACGACCGTATTCCACAGTTTTCAGAAAATCCAGATAATACTGTTATATGTTAGCCCAATGCGAAATTTAAACCAAAGAATGAATAAAACGATAATTTAATAAAATCTTGCCGATCACTGTTTGTAGCATATATCTTCCAATCCAACATATCAATTCAAATTAGCACTATTCTTCAATAGAGCAATGAGAAAATAAGAGCAACTTAGCGAGAGCGAACATAATGTTTAAAACTTGGATACATTCAATAACTTACTTTGAATTAGAAACATGAGAATGAGGTAAGTCTTCCGCAAGTTCGTGCATGTCAGGACGACAAGTTGGACAACGAGAATCTGGATCAGGATGACACTGTGGACTTTTATAAGCTGATAATCCCATGCATAGACAGGCATTAAAAGATGAATACTCCATGAGCTAAACAAATAAAATACAACAACAATATTACATGATGTAACAAATAATAATTCATTATGTAATAATTATCACTGCATATTAAGTCCATCAAAAATTGCATAAACTAATCCTGTCAATAATGTATATTTGGACTATGATCCAATCTCAGTTGCAGTTTATTAACAACTAATGCAATTCTATTTCGTTATGAACATTGCTTACGACAACTAACCTTATATACACGAGCATTTTCCAGTTTGAACAATTCAATCAGCTGTTCCCAGCGCTTTTCACTAAAATATTCGTTGTAAGCACGACTTTTGGACGGAATTCCGAAACCAATGAGACCCATAACCTTCAAGAAGGAAAACTGAAAGTGCAAAAAGAACAATGCGGCTTCATACCTACATCATATAAAAACTCACTGATGATTTTAAAACAGTTTGACGCATTCCATTTTGAAATGCGTAAACATAATTTCGAAAATGAGTTAAATTATTTTTTGAATTATTTAACTAACAAACAGTTAAATTATTTTTATCAAAATCAGAGATAATTGGGTACTGAATATGAAATAATGGAAAAGATTTTAAAGTTTCTATTTTTTCCTACTCACCAACCAGTTACTCTCAAAAATGTGCAAATTTCATCAGCATCAATAATGAAGGATAACGGGTTTCTCTCTCAGCTCTTTCCCATCTTCTCTCAGCATATGTGAGTATAAAAGTGTGCAATCTCATCCAACAAAAGGACTTTATCAATTACTTTCACAACTTGTTCGCTCCATTGATCTTTCGATAAATTGGCCAAAAATTTTCTCGCATAATGCACAGCCTCTAAACGTTCACCTGAAATGTCAGTTTTTTTTCTCACAGGATTCGTTATACTATATGCATACGATGGAGTTCAAGATCTAATGCAATAGTGCGACACAATTTTTTAGTCTCCTGAAAGGTGCTCCAATTTTTTCAGTCCAGATAGAGTCCCTAATTGAAACCAGCAAAAATATATGATAAAAATGCTCACCTCGTCGTACTAACTCAATACAATCCTGTAAGCGAACTGTAGTTTCCAGACTACTTTTCAAACGACGTAACTTTGACTTGTTATCAGCAATCCATTCTAAGCATCGATCGGTTTCATGGCGCGACAAGCTATCTTCTACCTGCAAAATCTCCTCAAAAAACTCGTTAAATATCAGTTCATAGTGAGAGTAAATTAGTGCATCGATATTTATGGGATACGCGTTAAATATCGACGCACTAAATGACCTCACCTGTACAATCAAACCGAGTATTATCAGTCAAAAAATATAAATTTAAGCAGTGCGTGATTGGAAACTGGAATCAGTTCTATTCACCTGCTTCGCAATCATGAAAACGGTTTTATTACACATATCTTCCACATTCGCTTGTTCGGCTAATTTTTGTGCAGTTTCGAAATAACCCGAACGTAGCAAATAATCAATAATTAAACGACTAATGCGTTGACTACGCCAAGTTTCCTGTTTCAAAACATCTGCCGTGCTAGCCTGCAAATTAATATGAGTACTCCTCAGTTTGGAATGAACTTTTACTGATTTTCCAACATTAAGCACGCAATAATGTGAGTCAAGTACTACTTATTCCTATTTATTTCATTTCTGAACGCCCATTTTGCAAATATATTGCATTCAATGGGAGCATCTCGTTTTCTAAATATCAGCGAGATGCTTCTATTAACTCATAAACTAGTCGACTTATTTTTTAGGATGGCGTACTGTGAGTACGTTTTTTGGTAAATGTTCTTGCTAATCCCAAATTAGCATTATTAACACCATGTTAACATATGCATAATTTCCAAAAGAAAATAAAAGGCACAGTTACACTTGTTAACAGTAGATCATACGTAACCAATCACCAGTGCATCCCTTTATTCCTTATGTATGTCGCGTCTCATCTCATCCCTTCCACTGAACCCTTTCCAATAAGGAATGGAAAACAATGTTTAAGAAATTCATAAACCTGCTGCAGATATTTGACTCGCGTATCCAAGAGATCAATTAATTCCATTTCTTCGTCGGTGATTTGCTTGAATGTACCAAAGAGTTCTTCAAAACGTCCAAAATAAGTGTCCATTTTCTCTTTAATCTATAATTTTACGATTTTGAACCAAAATTTAATATTTAGTAAAAGTCATATGTAATATGATAAAAAAAAGTTGCATTATATTGGGTTGGTGAAATGCAGTTTTAATGGTCATTAGTTCATTTTTATTTGGACTAAAGACATCTTTACTTATCTTTAACCTTGTTTTGCCAGAAGAATGTATGAAGTGTGAAATTATACTAAATATTTCGGTGAAATAACATTTTTCATCAATTTTTTTGTTAAAAACTCTATTAGTGGGCTAACCTGACAAAAATGATATATTTTTCATGAAAATGAAATATATAAAAAATATGCGTGGATAAAGAGAGAGAAACTTACTTCGCGTTTGTAAATAGGCTTACTACCATCACCTCTCATAGCTTTTGCTACCAAGTCAGCACTTTCCTTAAGATAATGATTATTTTTTTCCATTGTTTTTTGTGAAGAACGAAATCGTTTGTTGAACAATTCATATGGCACTTTAAGTGAGGTATATTCGAGTGCTGTGATTTCATCTGGCTTTAACTGCTCCGAACATTGGGCTAAATATGCAAATTGTTACCTTGAACTGAAAAATATAAGATAAAGATCTCTTTATGTTATTTATACAAAATGACAATAAATCAGTAATAATTACGCGAACTTGAATCCTGAGATGGTGAACTGGAGGACATCATGAATTCCCTTACAATATACAACACTTTCCTCCCTTTCAACTCCAATCGAAAACACCAATGCCTGCAAACAAATGGCATTAACTCCAAGAAAATGCAAACAAACCACGACAAAAAAAAAAAAAAAACAATCTCTTCTTATCAATCGAGTAAAATATTGCCTTGTTATCATCAAATGTAACGTGGACACTAAAAAATTGATACTTGAAACAGAATGATGTTAATTTGGACATGCTGGGAAAGTTACTGAATCTGGACAATTCATATCGAATCTAGTCAAGATAGCACAAGAAAAAAAAAAGCTGGTATGCAAGCACCACATAAATCATCTCTGTTTCATACTTATTTATTGGACGTACGATAAACAATTAAATCAGCTATTAGTCATTATCATGTAATGCTTTTTTCTGTGCGAATAACATACAATAATGTAAAGTTAACTTAAAATTTACGAATTATTCTATTTTTTTTTTTCAAATATTTTCAAATGTTAAATCGAATAAGTGCAATAAGCATCAAAACTAGGACAGGAACAGCTACAACAATGCTAACAGAGGATCGTCAGAAAACCTCCGCAACAGCGAGAAACTACAGAATACGGAAGGTTAATTTTTACTTTAAAAGTTTTGCTATCTGATGCAGCACAATAGTCGTACAATAAGCTGATTCATAAGCCTGTAGGGAAGCGTATATGGGATAATATTTGCACGTGTGAGGATAGCGGGTAGCATACCTTATAAACACTACTCATTGATTGAGTAGAATATGTACACTTTCATAAATGATGCCAGTAGTTTTTCTTCCCCCACATAAATCTAATTAACATCTTAGATATACGTGAAGAATTCAGATCTCTCGTTTGACACGTAAAAATTACGTCAGTTATTTAGTATTCAAATTTTATGTCTTCTTCATTCTCTCTTTCTGCCTTTCGTTCCGTCTCACTCTCTTTCTCCTTTTGTATGTAACTTACTTTGTATGTAAAGTGTTCAATAGCTTCCATTATGCATATTTTTTCTTTCATGATTTAAAGATCGTATGGAAATTTTAGACAATTACAGGAAAATTACATTTTTAAATTACATTTTTTTTTAAATTAATCAATTGTTATTGAATCTTTTAATTTGCTTTCCATTCTATTGCTGATTGAATATTTGCTATGTGGAAGGTGGAGATTGATTCTGATTTGTCATCTCTTAAAAAGATCGTTACAATAGTCTACTATGTGATAGTTTATATTTAACAAAGAGCAGAAGGAGGAGGCTTTTAATTTGTCAAATCTCTGTTTAAAATACTTGAAAATGATTAAATCACTACATGAGGAAGTATTTTGGTAAAGTTTTAATAATATTTTAATAATGTAGGCTATATGCTTATAGTGTGCTTTGCTTAGAATTAATTCTGTAGTAAAATAAATTAATTCCAAAAAGAAGCTCTTCGTTTCGGTGTTAGCCTTTGCTATCCGATTTTGATTACTAAAAATTGATGTATTCAATGATGTTGTATAGATGATATTCATAATGATTTCGGATGACTTATTCTTCACTGTATTATAGGTTGAAGTATGACTTATATAAGAAGAGAAATGTGTATTAATAGGTACTCATCTTAATGGTTAAACATAAAATATGAAACCATTTCTGATTTATGCAAATAGCTCAAACGGTATAATTATTATTAAGAGACAATGGTGGATAAATTTAATGATCTATTGATTTGATTGATAAAAATTAGCATTGTTTATGGAGGAAATAAATAAGACCGTTATGCTGTGAAAATTAACATTGCACCAATATCATTGTAATTATGGTTTAGATTTTCTAAACAAAACCTCCAGCTTTGGTTAATCCATCATAATTCGTTCCTTGATACTTATCATCACCAGAAGTTTTTTTTGCAAATTGATTTGTTGGATAAATTGGAGAATTTTCTTAATAATTGTTCCGAAGTTTTTTCAACTTAGGATTAGTAGCAGAACAGTCCTAATACAATTTTTTAGAACTAATTAGTTAAGCTGATGATGAAAATTTTGTTATAAATCTGAATAGATGGCTTCATTTTATGACACATATAAAACTAGCGATGAGTATTTCAGTTTCTGTGACACTTATGAGAAAAGGAAATTGTTATTAACTAAAACTTATTGCGCAAAAACGTACGTATGAAGACAATGCGTATGATCAAAATATAATGCTAATTTTTTTTCGTACCTTTTCTTTATTTTTTTCATTTCGTACCTTTTCTTTAACAATTTATCTACTAAAATGCTTGTTTTAATATTCGTTTGTTGCCTAAAATTTGAAGAACTATGAATTGTAGTTCTGGAGGATAATGTGTTGAATAAATTCCTCAACGGCTTATAATATGGATATCATTTATGAAGAAAACTGTCAAAAAGAATTCCCACCCGGTTCCATGAAGTTCTCGGGAGTGAAAGCTTGTGCGATAAGATTCAAATATAAGATCTGAATTTTCAAGCTTTGTAAAAATGAGATCGAAGTATGCTTCTATCTGCAATGTAAACTGTTTGTGTTAATTAGAGATATCATTTTTGCTTTCTTTATAAAAATTATGTCAACAAAAAAATAACTCGAATGATAATATGTGGATATGTTAAAAGCGTGGGTAAGTTTTTCTCTTGCATATCGAGAATATGTGGATACTGTTTTTCTCTTGTATATCGAGAGAAACGTTTACTCTTACGTTTAAATGATGTTTACGTGTTACCCCATTCCGTTTCATTTTTGTTTTATGTGTTTGGCATGATAATTTATTTAATTTATACTAGTTCCAGTACTGTAGTACGTATTGTATTGTGATTTTGAATTGATATAATAATTTTGGATTCCAAAATTGATGGCTAACTTGCTACTACTAATAATACAGTGCAGAAAAAAATGTCAGTGTTGATGTGTTGATTAGTATTTAGCAAGATGTCTTGTCCCCTTTGCAGTAGTAGCAAAAATTAAACATGAGGACAAAAATGAAAGATTCTGTTTAGAAGTGACAGTACCTGTTGCAGCTGAAAAACTACAACAAAATTTATTAGACAAAATTTATAATTAATTAAATATTAGCATAGCAGATTAAAATGACATATGAAAATTTATGTGGTTAAATGTTGGAAGTTCTATCGAATTATAATTCAAAATTTTCCATTCAATTTCATCAATATTTAATCAGGAAATAGTGACAAAGCATAAGCGGCAAAAAAAGCAGTGTAACCTTAAACCAACACAATTATTCGCTTTATTAACATACCTGTCGCAACGATATCATCAGATGTCG